ATTATTAGTATCACTAAGAACTAGCTCCAGTACAATTTAGATGGCTTACCCTTTTCATTAAAAATGCTCAGGACTTATGCTGCCTTTAAGAAGGGTGCTACACAAAGTTTATATTTAACTAGTTACCAAGTCACAGAATGGGTAAGGTTGGAACCCATTCCCAGTGCATGATCTGGTCCAACCTCTCTGCTCAAACAGGGTCATCCTAGAGCACATTGCACAGGATTGCATCCAGACAGTTTTTGAATGTCTCCAGTGAGGGAGACTGGGTAACATGTCTGGGCAATCCACAGTTTAGTCATTGCTTCCATAACTAGCATGCAGATCTTTTAACCAACAAGGTGTGCATCCATTAATTTATAAGGAAGTGAACAGCTTCATCAAGCCCAGGCACTTCATTTGGATATTGTCCTGGGAAGTGGGATCTGTGTAGTCAGTGGCTAGAGCTAGAGGAAGAGGCTGAATTCAGGTTTTCCTGAGTCAAGTGGCTTAAATCCATGCCTTGTGAAGTTAAACAATGCCAGTAACCCTCTTCCTGCAATGTCTGCCTGGCATCAGGCTTTAAAAACTTGTAGCTTCAGCTACTCCTAAGGCTCACGGAGTTTGGTAAGAATCAGTCTTACAGTACGTGACAGTTTTGATGCATTTACTGCAAGAAAGAACTTTTTTTTTTTTTTACTGAAGCAGCAATGTTGCCTTGCAGGAAGGAAATCTTATTGGGTTACCACTTCTGATAGACAACTATGTTCCACCGCTTGAAGGACTGCCTATGTTTATCCTTCGATTGGCCACAGAGGTATATTCTATCAATGATTTTATTAATTTGCAATTACTTTTTTTTACTTCACATTTAAGCAACTCCAGCCCTTTCTTTGCAGTTTCTGGTGCAGCTTAAATGTACTGTTATGTGTTCCAGACACTTTTGCTATGGTTACTGAATAGTTGTGCTTTGCCTCTGTATTCATAACTCCTGACTGAATGCGCCTGTATTTTGATTTAAAAGCCTGCACTCCTACACTTTCTTTGTTCTATTCCTTTACCTTATCAGCACAAAAATGGCCAATACATTATTATGACTTTTCCATATTAAGACTCTCTATCAAGTCTCTGACTGCTACCCAGATTCTGTAGAATGACTTCTTTTTCTTGTAACAGGTAAACTGGGATGAAGAAAAGGAGTGTTTTGAAAGCCTAAGTAAAGAACTTTCCATGTTCTACTCCATCAGAAAGCAGTATATAATAGGTGAAGCCAATCCAACAAACTCTCAGGTACAAGAATACTGTAACTAGTCCTATGAACAGACAACTAACAACCTATAGGAAACTTCTGCTTTTTCAGCTACAGACTTCTAATCCCAGCTCTTTCAGTGAAGTGAATCAAGTAGCAGTCTGGCAAGGTTCTGAAACAATGTGGCTTAAATTTTCTGAGGTATTATAGGTATTGAGAGAACCTTTTAACTTTGGGCATTGCAGTGTTCTTTATATTATTACAAGAGTCCTTGGCCTCTGAGTTTGGGATGTATTTTTATGGTATATTTCTATAGAAGAATAAGGATGCATATAAATGAAAAATGACTGTGTCTAAATACCTGCTTAATTATTCCATTACACTCACTAACTCTGGAATTACTATACAGAGCTTAAAATTAACTTGACTGTATAGAATGAACTTCTTTAATACTAGCAGAATTTTAGAGTTGCTGTAGTCTTACATTATAAAGTTTTTTAAGGAATGTTCTCTGGTAAAAGAGAACTTCAGTTTACTTGTTTAATTGTTTGTCCTTTTTCTTCTGTATTTCAGAATGAAGATTCTGACTCTGGTTCAAAAACATGGAAATGGACTGTGGAACATGTGATTTACAAAGCTTTTAGGACTCATCTTTTGCCTCCTGAACACTTCGCAGAAGATGGCAACATTTTGCAGCTTGCTAACCTGCCTGACCTGTATAAAGTTTTTGAAAGATGTTGAGCAAGTAGTTACTACAGACCGTTTTTTTAGATAGGCACCATTCCTTTTATGTTCAGTTTTACATAGTAGAAATAAAGCTGGAATCTTGATGGAGGAAAGAAAAAGAGAGGATTTAGTATCATACCGAACTACTAACATGACAGCAAATGGTCTATTTTCCTTCTGTTGATCAAAATATAAAAAGAATAATTTTAGCTTTTTTTAAACACAACCCAAGTTCCTAAAATAAAATTTCCACTTATGCTCTGAGTTTCCCTATTAACCTATCTGCTAACAGAATACAATTTCTACTGCAGAAAATTAAGTGGGTTAAGTGATTGTGAAAGAAGATGGAGCTTAATTTAGTTGAAATGTGAGTGCTTTAACTTTGTTTGCTTCTTGAAAGTGAAACGGAAAAAGGCAGCTAACCTGTTTTATGACTCTTGTCTGGCAGTATCTGCAATGAGAATATACATGCAAAGCACTTAAAAATCATCTGTTACTAGAGAAGTTAGTCTTGTAATATTTTAGGCCCCTTGCTGATATAAGGCAAACCCCTTCCCTCTTAATTAAGGAATCAGAAAATAGAAATGGGAATGGTCTGGCAGATAGTAAATGAGTATGCAAACATAATATTCATTGTCTCAAATTTATTGAACAGGGCTTAGGAGATCTGCTACATACAAGGCTGTGTCCCAACAAGGAAAGCATTATTCTAAGTCCAAGAGGCATCTAGCATCCAAACCAAAAAGGAAAGCAAGCTTCAGTTTGCAGTGTAAAGATTTTTGTTCCATTTGAAAGCAGCTCTGGTATCAGCAGAAGCATGAATGCTCTTGGATTGCAGTGGTCCCAAAACCTGCCTTGCTTTGAGAAATACTCTTGAAGGGCAGCAGTTTGCAACAGGAGAGCATTTGATATGAGTCCAAAAGGATAATTCCTCTCAGAAGGGCATCTGCTGGCTTCAAGTAAAGTTTAACACAAGGGCTGTGTAACTTCAATTTCAGGGGTGTCAAGTGGAGATGCTGATCATTTCCTGCCTGTGATGTGCCAGCTTAAAAAGAGTGAAGTTCTTAATAACAGAAATCCACGTTGTTCCAGAAAGCCGTCTTCCTTCTGCTCCCTCTCTTTGATGGCAATCCTGTCAATGGCATAACTACTGGAGAATCATGTCTTCCTGAGCCAGCCAGCCCAGAAAATGAAATCTGAAGCGAGCCACTGGCTTGAGCTGGCCACAGCCCACATTACTTCCTGGCAATGAGGGGGCACCGTCATGGTGGAGAATATAGGAACTACTCATGGAAATTACATTTGTATTGTGATTCCACTGTATCTTGCCCTTGCTACAGTGTGCTTGTTTTGTGATTTCAGAATACTGCTGTATCACTTTCCTAAATCCAAATCACATATAATGGCTTAATATATCAAATAAGTAAATTTGATTAAACATGAAAAGCTCCCTCTGTGGAACATCCAAAAGAGCCTGGACTCTGACATGTACATGTGAGAAATGTCTATAGATAACCACAGACATGCTTAAATTGTATGTTAAGTCTGGCAGCATGTGCACTGTCATGCCAGGTGAAAATACGAGCTCCTGATCACACTGTTCTGCAGGCTCCTGACCCTCACAAAGCTAATAACCCCAAAAATCATAAGTACATTCTGAGTTATGTTCATTTTCTCCCCTTTTTGGTATTTTTTCATCCTTTTGGTATTTAATAGAAACCTGATTACATAGTGCCAAGTTCCTTGCACAAAATGAAAAATACTCTTAATAAAGCTGAAATAGTTTGGTTTTGGTTTTTTTCAATCTATATATTTCAGAGCTTTAAGCAACCTAATACAGATTAACTGCCTCCCTATGGGTAAAAAGGGCAGGAAATCTTTCTTACAAAATATATTTTGAAGTTAAGATAGCAATAAATCATCAATCAAAACATTACTAAGCTCGTCATGGATACACGACAGACAGCTAATGGAATCAGTTTGGTCAACAGCTTGCTGGTTTTTTTTTTCCTTTTAGATTCTTCATTCAAATCTGCTTCTTGAAACAAATGTCTTTTTAAATCTCATTTTCAAGCCCAATAAAAAGAAAACGTTACAAAGTCCACACAACCACATTGCTGTGTTTCCAACAGTTCACAGATTCGGCTTTTCAAAACTAGAAAACCTCAGGGTGAACTGCTCTCTTACTTGCTTGTTTAGCTGCTCAATCAGTTCAAATACTTGTGATTCCCAGGAACACAGAAGAATGATATGAAAACACTTCTCCAGGCCTGAGATACCTTAGTTTAGCCAAGTTAAATGCTCAACACGTTCAAGTCTAGATTCTGCTATTATTTTGTTGTTTTTCTGAGCACTTCTATCACAAAGAACTTTGAGAAATCTACCATGACAGCCAGTATCATACTGTCTCTGCATCTCAGTAAGCCAGAGACAAGCTCTCAAGCTCCTTCCTTCTAGTTGTTGAAACAGGAAAGTTCAGTCGTGCTACTTCATTTCAAAACTCACCTTACTGCCAGGTGACTTCTCTAGGTGACACCAAAATGAGCAGTGATCATTCTTCAAATGCAGTTCTCTGAGAGTCCATGAAACAAAAACTTTCCCAAGCTGGGAGACACAGCTGCTTCACCCTGACTTTACTGTAACAATTGCTGTATTTTTCCTACTGGGTATGCTTGCAGGACACTACTGCCAGAAGAACCATCCCTGAGCAGCTGGTATACTGTCCCATAAGGACATCTTGGAATCAATACATATCTGGGGTACATGGATAACCGCTGACCACTTGAGAGCTGTTCTGAGTACAAGGTAAGTCAGCTTGCTGTCAGACTGCCATGCCAAGCAACCAGTCCATTACCACGGCCTTTCACATGAACAATCACCTCATTTTCACTAGAAACAAAAGCAAGCAGGTTTCTTTAGAAAAGGCTGGTGGAAAGTGCTTCTGAGGATGTCTTCGGGGTACTCAAGGAGAGCAGAATCATCCCTGGGCAGGGCAGGATTGAACAACAGTTTTTGAGTCAGCTTTGCAGGTTTTATAGGTACGTTTGAGAGGAGCGAAGAAAATTATTCCAGATTGAGTGTTTTAACTCCTTTCTATACCATAACTGATGCATTTTAAATTTATAGGAGATGCAGCCTTTCATGGCAGCAACCAGAACTGTCATTCCCTTTGAATGCACCAAAGGGAATAACTTCCTTGGCAAACTTCTCATGTAAGAAAATGTGGCATCTCAGTTAACTCAATATACAGAAAAGCTGAAAACCATATGCCACAGGAAGAAAGGATGCTCCTTTAGGAAAGGCTTCCAAAAGCTTTACCTTACATTTGGCAAATATAACTAGTCATGTTTGGTGTAACAAAATATCCCCCCCCTCAAGGATATTCTGGCACTAGTGCATATGGCTTGTTCTGCTTTGCAGTTAATGCTTTTCTATCAATTCCTATTTCCTATTTTTCCCCCCCAAGTACTGAAATTCAGGAAGAAACAGACACTGAGAATAGGTTGAATTTCTCTGATATCCAGAGGAATTCCATATTGCAGGTTGAGGAAGGTGTTCAAGTAAAGTCACAAGTCATGGACTTTGATGAAGTTGGTAGGTTTAATGGACCTTTTGCCTTCCTATCCCAGATGCATTTTTCTCACTGAGTTTAATACTTGGTTAGGAACATTAGGAACATAACATAGCATTATTAAAAGAGAGGGTTTGATTTTTTTTTTTTTTTTTTGCTTCTAATGGTTTCTTCTTACTGGCATCTTCTGAAACAGACTTGGATATTCTGAAGCAATGTAAGTGATAAACTTCATCCTGGCTTTTTTTTTTTTTTCATTCAGTAATCACAGAAGAGAATTTTAGAAAGAGCAGACTGAAGCCAACGTAACAGCTTGCTGCCTTCAATGTATATCCATCTTCAATGTGAAGGAAGCTAGACTGCCTAATCTTTTAGTCACACACTTATTTACAGAACTGTTATTTGGAACAAAAAGGCAGGTGATTATTTTGCTGTAAAGGCTTAGTAGTAGTTAAAGTGAAATAAAATATCTGTGAAGGTATTTTCAAAACATCTTTTTTATGTAGCTCTTGCAGACTTCACTAGCATCACTTTCATTTCAATCTCCTCCTTTCTTTTCCCCCAGAATACTTTGTTGGTGCTGTAGCCTCAACTCAAACAGAACTAACCAAGTGACCATGTTTATGACTCTAGCTCACTTTTAATAAATGATGTCCCAGTCCACTTGTAATGTCTCATACCCAAAGCTGAAAAGTGAAGAGAAATCCTGCATCCACACAGCCCTGAACATCCATATCCCTCTACGATTTCATGATGTGCATGGCTGTTTGACTGTTGCAGTGGCTTACAACCCTCTGCTGCTAGTTTACTGATTTGCTGAGACTGAATAAGGGAAAAATCCTGTAAACTGAAACAGTCACCACTGCTTCAAGGAAAAGCTGTGATACGATGAGAACACAGCTCACCTTGTCTTCTTGCCTGCTAACCTGCTGTTCCACGGCAATGGAAATACTACAAAGCAACGCGGCCCATATGCACGAGTTAATATGAGAGGAATACACTGGTACTTAGCATTTGCTCTGCAGGTTGCTAATAAAACCTAATGGCTCTAGAAGAAAAGCAGCAACACTTACATTCCTCTTTAGGTAGGAATTAGGTGTTACATGAAACGTTTTTGATCAAGCATCAGCTAACATGTAAGACCTGTATATGGAAGTACACATCTTGCACAGGCAAGCTGAATGACTGACTACCTTCACTTCACTACTGGTGTAATTAATACTAGTGTTTGCAAAGGCTCACTTACTCCAGTTTCCTCCTTGAACCTGAAGAACATCACCACCAGTACAGGAGTGGGAACCAGGTTACTTCAAAGAGCTCCTTGCATCCTTTTGATATCATATATGCAAAAAAGTATTGATGTGCCACTACCACTATCGCAGCATCCCTACAGGCAATCAGCCCTACAACACGTTTTGCACAAAATCTATGCAAATTGGAATTCTTATTACCTCAAGAGAAATAAAGGAGTGGTATATGCAGATTTTCTAATGACAAAGCAACAAAATATCATTATACATTACCCATGTTTTAACATTTTATTTTAGAAAGTGAACATATCCATTAAAAAAAAAGAAAATGCATGGAATTAAAAAAAAGTAAACATAAAACTAATGACAAATTGCAATAACATAAAATAATTTTATCTAGTGAGCCCCAACAATTATTAAATATACTTCCACCACAGAGGAGTTTTACTTCATTATATTACCAGTCTCTTGATTAGGTACACAAGACAACACTTTCCAGTAATTACCTAGTCATTAGAAGATCAACTTCAGGAATCATGGAATAATAAAATACATTGTGGACGAATACTTTCATACCACCTGGGAGGCAACCTAATATACATATGTCAACAAGGTACATCTTCATGAGGTATTACAGTACATGGGAACCATTCCCTTTACTTTCTAAGGAGTAAATTCTCCTGTCAGCAGCTCCACCAGCAAGTCAGCCACAGACTCTGTTGCCAGTTTCCAAACCCCAACAACTTCCTTCCAAGATTTTCTTTCTGCAACAGATTACACAAGTCAGGATGAATGAAGATGGGAGT